CGGCCAGAACTTGAACCCAGTCCTTTCGAACCGAGTCAGTGCATTAACCACTGAACGACTACTCTATCAAGAAGAAAAGAACTGTACTTTGCCAAAATCCCCTGAAATCGCCTGGCAAGTCTTAAAAGGAAAGTGTTATGATGGGAGACAAAATATGATTCGTAATCTGATCGCATACGGCAAAACCTTTAATGAATTTGACACACTTGAGCTGAGCACAAATAAAAGCCTATTGTCTGGATTCTTGCTGTACTGTTTCTTGTCCAAATGTCTTGGTTCGAAAAACAAATGACACAGCATCACCAGCTTTCTTTACCGCGTCGTCCTTCAAGAGAACAAGACACGTTAGAATTCTTAATGATAAAGGCTGCAACAGTGCAGCGAAAACAAGCATTTTAAAAGCAGTTAAGACTTCAAAACACTTCACCGCGTTAGTGTTAGAACCAAAATCAACTTTTTGGTACGACTCAAAACCTTACCAAGTCCATACATCGCCCAGCAATATTCAGCATATCATATAATTCCAGTTGAAACACATGATGAACTCAGAGAATGCGGCAGCATTTTCCATGAAACACTTGCGAAAGTCCGTCCGCGCTTAGCTCACCACGGAGAACGGTAGATTATTCAAGCGTTTCTCGGCAATTAGATAGCTTTGTTTATTATTTACCTCGCATAAAGAACACAGGGGCTTATGTTCCCGGCGGTAAAGTTTTTCACTCCTAAATGGAAACGCTAACATGAACAGCTTTTGCAAGAGAGCAGTGAACGCGACCTTGTAAAAAACGAGCGGTCATTCTTAGATGTGATTCTCTCTGTAAAAGATACATTCAAAATCTTTACCTCTAAGTGGACTGAGGCAATAAAAAATCTAACAGAAAAACCGGCACAAGCAAATCTCTGTCCTACCTCAAAGTCTGAACAAGGATCACTCGGACACGGATAGTGCTGCCAATCCATAAGCTCAGCTATTGAGAGATTTTTCTGAAAAAGAGATATTTAAGAGTCCTAAATGTGATTCGTGACAGACGTTATCGACACTAGATTGTCATATAACGTTTCAATCATGCAAAAAGCTACTTTCTGGCTTTTCTTGAAAGAATTTATGTGGCGTTCACGATATGATTGTATGTCCTTTACTACTAAGGAGAATATCATACTTGATTATTATTGATGTCAATTCCTAATTGGCACGGTCTCGTGACTGGTATACTTGACTGTTGATTGGCTGTTGATTCTGATTGACATTCCTCGTCACTTCCATCCTAGAAAAAGCCAACAAATCACAAGAGAGATGGAGAGAGTCAATGACAGAGCAGTGATTCCACCTCAAATCGTGATCATCAACCCGAGAGATTACATATCAATCAATCTCGAAAAATTTAGTGTTACCTCGGTTGTCAGGCATGTGCACTGTAGTAGATCGTGCGTTAAACATAACGTGTTCTCGTGGAGAGTAAACAAGTCCTGTGTAATGAAGAAGAAAATATTTACGGAAAAATAAACCTATTCCGTGAACCCTTTACACCCTAACATCAGTGTGCATACCATATTCTCCATACTGTTCTCTATACATTTTCTAAGGTGCTGATAAGGAGATTTTGTTTAACAATCAAGAAATGATCGGCAACTTACCAGAGCTCTTGATTGTTAAACAAACTCTCCTTGCTAGTACCATAGGAGATGTCTAGAGAACAGTATGGAGAATATGCATACTAATGTTAAGGTGTAAAGGTTAGGAGCACGCTCTGAACACTCTCTAAAGGAGAAGAAAGTTGTACCTAGAACACCTAACCATAAAATAGGAAATCGCATGATGGCGAGGGCGTTTCGTGATTTATCACCAAAAGTTATTTTTTTCGTAATTTCACGGGTAAAAGGCGAGTGCAGTTTAGAAGAATTGTTTTCCCTCGGTCGTGAGAAGGTCATATTGGGATCCTCGTTCCCGCACTTTTCTATTACCCGAGTGAAGGCTGCGCGTTGTAATGGAGTTTTCGTTACAATAATGAAGCCTGTTGCAATAAATTCTGCATTTAAATTGTGTCAAAACCTTCCATTATATTTACCTTAAGTTCCTCTCGCGAGAATTCAATTTTGACAGACTCTTTGGCATCAGCTACAGTTCCGCTAAGACCCTGCTTGGCGGTTTGTCTCTGGTAAATCTTCTCTTCAATGGTACCCTGTGGCACTCAACAAACCAAAGTTAGATATACTGTGACAAAATTACTTGTCACTTTAACAACAAGCTAAGTTTCGACTAAATTGATTTAAACTTCGAATGAAAAGTTCTCCGAGGTAGATAAAAGCTACAGCAGTATTAGCCCAACAAACGGAGAGAGAAAACAAACGCATAAGCTATTTCTAAACGGTCTCACTTTAAAACGACGCCAACTGCAATATTTTTCTTGTGAAAATACATCATAATAAAAATTCATTTTGATATCAAAGGCTCCACACGTAACCTCATTTTAAAACAGAGGCTTTGGGAATCTCAGAAATGGCCTGTTATGGTATGGACGAGAAGGGGACTGGTTTGAGAGACGCGACGCATTCTGTCCCGTTCTTGTCTGGCCCCAGTCTCTTTTTGCTTTGAGCTATCCCAGATCGAGAGAAAAACTGACTAATAAGAGTCTTCAAAGAAGAGACTTGGTCACTAAGCTAATTACCGTTGTCAAAAGTCGATAAATGTGAACTGTGTTTTTCTGTCCGTCTCTCCATACCCTTGCCATCGACTGTAAAAGGTAAACCAGAACTCAGTGAGTTCAACGAGATCACTGTCTAATGAATAAAACAATCTTACTTCACAGCAAGTTATCTAATCTAAGAAAAGAGAAAATAAATGAAGTTGAGAAAAATAGCTGTTCACATTAACCCAGGGACCTTTTGATCTGCCCTTTCATGTTCATACCTGAATGTCATTGGCCGGATTCCAGTCAATATCATACAAAATGAGCCTTGATGCACCAATCAGATTCAAGCCCACTCCGCCAGCTTTAGAACTCAATAGAAACACAACTGGAAGACAGAGAGTAAAACAAAAACAAAGGATGATTACGCTGAGTTCACTAGATCAGTTCTTACTTTGAGAACTTTTTTGTTAAAGTAAATCTTGGGGGCAATGTAAATAAATTAACGGTCAATTTAGCAATTGTTTTACTAAATATCCTAGTCATAGACTACAAGCAGTCCTTGCTTTTCGGGGAAGTCTGTCGCGCGAGTAAAAAATATCTGTGAAAAAAAGTGGTGCGCGAAACTAACCCAACCCTACTTTTCGTTTATTTTAATCAGAAAAGATAAAAATACAAACGCACTTACAAATTTTGCAGTACTTGTCATTGAAACGATCTACTAACGATTGCCGTTTGCTGGTTGGTGTCTTTCCATCCAATCGCAGGAAGTCGTAACCTCTGTCTTCACAAAGCCTCTGAAGTAAATCAAGAGTCTGTAGTGAAAGAGAGAGTGATGGAGAGATAATATTAAAAATTCTCCTCACTGTCTGCCATACAATTCTTATCTTAATTCGGAGAATTTGGTAAAGGATCAACTAATAATCTACTAATTGACATTTTCTTTATTCTCATTAATCTCTACCAACAGTCTGATGTATAAAAGGAATTGTCACGTGAACACTAAATCGTACCTGAGTGTAATTTGAGACAAGCACTACTCTCTCCCTCGTGCTGCGTATCTGGGTCAGTATGTGACCAAGAGCTTGAAGTTTTCCAGAATGGTTTGTTGTAAAACAACCCGGGTTGAAATTCTCAGGAAAGGAGCGATCGAGACCCTCATAAAGTGATGCGTCCTAAGTAGTGAAAACTCAAATTCACAAAGTTTTCGAGCAGAATTGTACAACTTGAGGAGAATATTCATCTATGGAAACGGATAGTAGGCAAAAGTTTTACCCGCGAGATTTCTAGGCTTTTCATAGTCATATTACTGCGTAAATTATAAATGATATAAATAATATAAATAATAACTATATAATTATACATCTTGTTGCACGTTATTTATTTATCCATATATTTATTTCAACCATTATATTATTTTATTATAGTGAATAAGTACAGAAGAGCCACCATGTGGAGTACTAACAAACTATTATTATTATTATTATATTATTTATTATTAAATAGAAATAAATGTAGGGGCGAATTTTCTCATAGTGAGCATTCTCGTTTTTGTGAGAAAAAATTCTCCTGAAAAAAAAACGTCATAACAACATTAAGAGTGAACGAAAACTCAGGGAAAGGCATCTTTTTTGTGCGTCACTTACCGAAGAAGTAAACTGGCAACACAATCCCTTACATTCAAAATCCCTTACGTCAAAATCAACCTAAGAGAACCATTTTTTACCAAGATAACATTTTGAAAATGAAACTCGGTCATTTTTTGTGAGGTTAAATCGAAAGAGAGACGAAACTTGACTCAGGGCTATTACTCTTAGAGGTAAAGTTCTTAAAGTAAATTGCCGTGAAATTTGACAAACCTAGCAGCTCTACGCAACAGCAAACCATCCGGGTTTGTTTCAAATGACCGGCTGACCAGAAATAACTAACCTCATCAACATCCAAGCCGTCCTCCATCTCTTTGGCTTCTTGGCAATGTGAATAAATAAGGCTTGGATCATTGCAGAGTTTCTTCAAGGCACCAATACAAACCAAATGTCGCGACCCCCCTGAGGAATGTGACGTCAGACATGATCTCACAACTCGTGACGTCAGAAGGTGGCGGTACAGAGAAAGCTGTAAGAGACTTGGTCTGCAGAACACGACGCATTCCACTGCAAAAAGTTGAGTTAAACAATTTAGTACAGAGATAAGATCTCAGGGATACCAAAGAACGTGTGGGAGACTCAGTAGTCTCACGCTGGACTCCGAGTCGAGAGATTGGGGTTCCAGAGCAGGTCCTCATTATTAGTACTGCAGGACGCGCGTTTCGCCGACCGTGGGGAGATTTGAGACGAGTCGCGAAAAGGTTTGTCGGAGGTCTGGCAAAAATACTGTTGGACCCCTTACAAACCTTTCGCCGGGCCTCATACCGCAGGCGAGGAAAAGCTCGTGTCAAAGCCAGAATAATCTAACCAGTCCTCTCTCCACCCCAGGAGTATAAATGGGCACTAGTGAATTGTCAGAGAACCTGACGAAATGCTGACGGAAGGAGGGGGGAAGTAACCTGCAATGGATTATCATCCCATCCAGGGAGGAGTATTAATTCTCTTAGTCACGTCAAGCTTCAGAGACTGGGATAAGCTCCAGCCTGATAGGCCATATGACTCAAGTACAGACTTATAACATATCTAGATATTTAGGGTAAGCAAAGAACACGTGTACCTTTTGGAGGAAGGTAACGGCTGTTCACTTCGGCTGTCCGTCTCAAGAAAAACAAGCTAGTTAACCTGTTTAGCTTTATACAGGAAATAAAAAGAGGGAGGAAGATGTTAAATAAGAATTAGCTAGGAGATCCAATTTTGAGCTATTTCAAGTTTTGATGTAGAGGGAATTCCAGGGGTGCTTTTGTTTTTCTTTACTTCGCTGTGTTATTGGTCCAGAAAACTCACACCATCCTCTCCAACATACGATTCAAAACTGAAATCAATCGTCATTTGGTAAATCGCATTTTCTGGCGACTCAGTCAGTTAATTTTGTCTTTATTTCAAGTTGGCTGTTGTAACTACCTTGGTTTTGGTTTTTCTACACGCGATCGAAATGCTCTCAAGTATGTGAGCAAGAGCTTGGAGAGACCAAGAGCTACAGCACTAACTATCGATTCAGTAAGAGGAAATGAGCTTTTCATCGGAATTTATCACCTCAGCAGCCCTCGTTTGTCCTAAAAGTTTCTCTTCACTGCTTGCGTCAGGTTGCTGGCCGCGGACGATCGGTTCCTCATACAGACGGCGAAACGATGACTGTGTGCCTAAAGAAAAAGGCGTCACTGATCAAAGTAATTCACTTAAAGTGATAAATAAACACGACACCGCATTTTTCTTGGCCGACTCGAATGATTACACGAAGATTTCCCGCGCCTTGACGCGACTGCGCCATAATATCACGTGACTACCAAATATAGCTTACATGAATAAAATTAACAAATTGTAATGAAAATGTTCACAACTCATTGATTCAATCCAGCAGTCCTACAATTCGAATCTACTGGCACTTACCTAGAATCCCTGGATTACAGACATCGACGAGCGAATGAAACTCTTTGAGATCATTCTGTGAGTAAAAGAGAAGGACAAAGTTTTTAATTAAAAGAAGAGCAAATTCTATGAGCTATGACCTGACCATAGTCGTCACAAATTTTGCCTTTTGTAATAGAAAATGGTTACCGTCTTGCCTTCTTATGACATTATAGTATGTCAGGGAGAAACTTGAAGTTACCAGCGAAATACATGCGAGAGAAAATAAGTTGCTAAAGTAACCTGTACTGGGGTTCCTGTGAGAAGAATCCTTCGTTTTGTTTTTAGTCCAGAAATCATCTGCAGATGAATGATAAAAAAAACATAGGTCTCAACGCATAAATCTCATTTGACAAAAACAAAAGTAAAACGATAGACATCACCACGTTTGAAGACAATCACAGCAAATAAAATTTATAAACGACTCAAGGAGAAAAGAGAGCGAAATGTATTTCGATTCAAGTGTTTTTAGTTCAGTTTTAAATTTCATCCGTGTTGAATAGGTTTCTGTATATTCTAACTTATTAGTAGAAGAGCGTTTGACGTTTCCTTAAGGCTCTTGAGGAGGAAAAGGGCGTGATTACCTGAATAGGTTTGGGCCAAAATAGAGCAAAGGAACGTAACCTACCGTGGCAGTTTTAATGGAAGTGTTTTTGAGCCGATGTGCTTCATCACAGATCACTAATCCAAACTTGATGTTTCTTACTTCTTCTACTGAGCGTAGAAACATCTCATAGCTGATGATCATCACCGGATAAATAGGACTGTTGATGAATTCCTTCAACAGAAAAGTTAAAAATATCTAGTTTTGTGTTATACTTGGCAAATAGATAGGGCGCTTTATTGTCATTCAGAACTGGCCGGTTAGATCGATGCACTAATATAGAGAATATAGAGTTCAACTCCCCCGTGGGGTTCAAATCCCCAGTAGGGCTATTATCCTCGTGTTCTCCCCCACATCCCTTGTGAGGTTTCGTGTCGCAACGCAAACTGACAACGTCCGCGTGGGAGACTGGAATCCTCGTGAGGGACTCAAAGTTGCGTCTCAGTTTTCGGACCCTCTTCTTTTCTTTCTTTCTTCCTTTCTTTCTTCCTTTCTTTCTTCCTTTCTTTCACGAATGGCTCGTTTCCTTCCTTAACGACCGATCTCACGCATGTTACATGTGAACTACAGTCTAGCTCTGCTCACCACTCTCTGTGGCTCAGTGGTAGAGCATCTTACTCTATTTGCAGGATTCCGTTCTATAACAGAACTTTCTTTCTACTCATTATCAACTCAAAAACAGTAAATGGGCACATCTGTACCCTTTCCCTCCCCCCCCAGCGTGTGTTCGTTTTTTACCTTCACTCTCTTGTCCGAGTTCACTGTATAAACCTTCAACCTCTCGTTACCAAGCCACTTGCGAAACTCCGAACTCCAGTTCTGAACAGAGTAAGAAAAAAAAATTTAAAGAAAAATATTGAAACAGATGACTTATTAGACTCGTTATGCACTCTGCGAAAAATGTTTGCCTGGAGAATTTGGCTTGAAGAGACACTCGTGAAATTGTGCTTGGGCAAGTTATGTGCTTCAAAGCTCACAGCTTTCCCCGAACTTCTCTATCGGAAAATTTTTGGTTTCTCAAAACAGATAAGGCTGTTGTTTATATATTTTATGAAACGCAACAAAAAGGATATCAGAATACCTTGACCAGACTTCCTGGAGTTATAATCAGTGTTCTCCTGATACTTGCTTGTCCACCGTACATGCCTTGTTTATGAAGAGTCCTGTTACAAGAATATCCGACCTAATTAACTTTTGGAAACCGTCAGGATTAAAAGGGACATAACGCTTGAATTTCGGTCGAAACTGGGTACATGCCTTAGAGTGCGCGTCTACCGTTAAATTCAACGCGTGAGCCTCTAGCTACATGCGAGTTCAACGCGCGTTTCTCGCTCAATTTCACGCGAGGTGAAAATAATAGTTCTTAATCTGTTCCCCTTTGTCTGAACGCTGTAAATTTGATAGCAGGCTAGGATTTCATGACACACTACAAGATCGTTTATGGCAATTCACGTTGAAAAGAGCATTACGGTTGCATTTCTTTGCATAAGTAATAAAGTAAATTGTCTCACCATATCAAAGAAATACATTGAAAGGTTTTTCCAAGTCCCATATCGTCTCTAAACGCGAAAGACAAAGACAGTAAGAGATATTGGTAAGCCTGTACTAGAACAAAAGAAGCGGAAAAGTGCGCCAAATTTTCTCCCAAAAGTTGACGCGGAGTGGCTAATCATCCAAGTTTTTCGCGCGCTGTTCCAGTGGCTTACAAAAATTAATACCGAAAGTGTTCACTAGAATGTTGATAACTAAGATTCTTGGATTATTTTATTTCAGTTTGTCCTTGCTGGCTTATTTCAATCCGTTTGAAGATGTTCAAGGTTGTGAAAATCCCTTTACTCTTTTGCTACTCACGCAAGGATGGCTCCATTTCCGTTGAAATTTCTCAAGCCCATGATACACTCATAGAGGAACACTACACCGTCTCTCTGATGGGGCCTTAAATGACCGGACAAATGTGGGTCCACTACCACGTCTATGATATCCAGCCCCTCTCGATTGTGCTCGAACTGTGAAAAAACATATTCACGTTAACAAAACCGACACACTACATAGTACAACTTCTCATCACAGCTTCATCGAGACTGACCAATAACAATTGACGAACGCCTCTCGAGTTCTACAGCCAATAATACCACAGAAAGGCTGAACAAACAGTTTCAACGAACCACTTCCTCTACACTTGAACCTGTTCATGACTTCCGCTCCAGTTTTCGAGATGTCAAACTCTCCTGGTGACGAACAACCATAATACAAAATTAATCCCGATGTTCAATAGTTACCTGATGAGTGGCATTGGGTCGAGGCATTACCACGGCTCCAGGTGCGTTGACGTCATGTCGAGGCGCCACCATTTGTCGAGTATCTGTTGTCACATCTCTTTTCACGTTGGAAGAATAGGGTTTGACGAAACCTTGAAAAAAACAAAAAAACAAGTGTAGCAATAATTTGGCGAAGCATTCTGCCGGAATGGCTGATAGTGTTGTTTTCCACCTGCGAGTGGGCAACCAAAACAACAGAAACACAAAAATGAAATGAACCATCTAGACGAAAAAGGATGTAACTGACTCCAGGGGCGGGAATTGAAGTGGGGGAATCTCGCCGCGGGTAACTGCGTGAAAATA